AAAAAAAAAAAAAAAAAAAAAAAAAAAAAGGAGGAAAAAAAAACAGAAGAGATTATGTGGAGAAGTTTGTAGCAGGAAATTATTCCTACTAACCTCGGAAGCGCTCAAAACAGCAGTCCATCAGCCCCTGTACTGTTCTTTTTTTTTTTAATCCACCAGTCAACTGTCTTGCTTTCCTGGTTGACTGCCATGTCAAGAACGGTGGAGAGTTAAAAAAAAAAAAAAAAAAAAAAAGGAAACGACAGAGAACTTCTCTGGAAATTTCCTATTGACAAATTGGAGAGACACCAGTCATTCTAGTCAGGTCATCCGGGAAAAGGGGGTTTAAAGGGGAGCAAACTGCAATAGCTTCCTTTGGGATAGATGTAATGCAAGCCCTTGGCCCAGCTATCAGCCGTGAAAAAAAAAAAAAAAAAAAAAAAAAAAAATAGTCGGATGAATTTGGGCGCTCCTGTAGTGACCTGTACATTTCCTAAACTTGTGGCTTGTTAACGGGCACAACTTTAGGAAGTACTTGTGGTTTGCGTAATCCTCTCTCAATGATTTCGAGTTCTATCACACTACATTGCATTGCATTGCTAATCATCTCCTGGCAGTCCTCCTTGCAGTTCTTCAGATCTTTAGTCTCCAAGGATAGACAATATGTTCAGCATGTTATGCAGGGGAAAGGAGTGGGTAGAGCGTGGAAAGGGGTTAAGAAGTCAGACAAGGAAACAATCCACAGGGGGGCTGCCGGGCAGGGCTGGGTTGACGGATAAGGGGTGCTCCAATATGGGATGGGTATTACTAGCATCTCCATGGGACAATGGAGAGCCCCGGATCAGCAAGACAAATAACGACAGCCCCAGGAAACAATGACTAACAATTGCTGTGCTACAAGATGTACCAATGGGAACTAAGGACCCGGTTTCCAGCAGGCGCGGCTCCCCACCAATAGATGGAGCAGCCCGACAGACAAGCCCTCAATCCTGGTGGTTCTCGTACCACAACTGGGATAGAGGGATGACACAAGGGCTCAAAAAACTTGGCTACCAAAGTGGCCCGGGGTCAGTTGCCCGGCCGGGCCAAAAAAATAAAAATAATAAAAATAAAATAAATATTTTTAAATTTTATTTTTTATTCTAAATTTGGTGAAGAATCTCGATGTGACCCTGAGGCAAAAGTTGTTCAGTTTATTTTTCTGCATAACATAGTTTTTTCCGGGAGTTTTTGGATTTTTTTTTCTTTTTTTTTTTTTGCTGGGGCTTTCCCTGGTCCTTGCACGGGCTGGCCACCGGGGACCCGGGCGGCCCGGCTGGTAGCCTAGTCAAAAAAGAAGAAGAAGAAGAAGGAAGTACTGGTGGTTTAATATGCTTGTTAGCCCTCAGGTTTGCGGCTAGACTTTTCATAAGCGTCACAAATGGAAAGTGAATACAATAGGGTCCTCTTGTCTATCACGGCTCTGCAGTGTGATTTCATGAGTCGACATTCTTTTTTTTTTTTTTTTTTTTTTTTTTTTTTTTTTTTTTTTTTTTTTTTTTTTTTCAGGAGTCAACATTCAATTGATGTGAAATCTAGTAATCTCACTGCTATGAAGGCTCAGGGGTCATGACCCACATTTTTTAAATTCTTCGACTCCATGTGTCGATTATGTAACCAGGAGGCGGAAAATATCCCTGACCTGTTTCTCCATGGTCTGAGGCATGCAGCATTCTGGAGGCAATGGGAGGAGAAAGCGGAACAATTCAAACTCCCCCTTGGTAGTCTGTACATTATCAGCCACAGGACCTCCTCTGTGCAAGCACGGATTCGAACCGGCGCCCTCAGCCTCAAGAGCCGAGTCTCTTATCCACTACAGCCATGACACGGTGTACTAAAAGTGGATCCATGCCGGTCGTGATATCCACCCCACCCCTGCATGGATGTAGCGTCCTTCAATTCACACACACGCACACACAACAGCACACAAGGCATCCGCCACACAGGCAGTAGTCGCACACTCCGCTCTCATCCAGCACAACTGCTGCAGTGTTCTGGGCCATTTGGTGATGTAGGAAATACTAGGAATGAGGAACATATGAGGAAATAGGAAATTTACCCCGGCGAAAACAATGGCGTGCGTCAAAGGGGCAAACATGCCCTTACCCCTCTCCAACGACCGAGAGAGGTAACCTCCCTTCACCGAAGAGAGGTAGAAAGCTATGCTTGCAGGGGTCCCCTGTATAGCCTTAGGAGTAGTGGTAGGTAGTGAAAAAAAGGATATGTTCCATGACATGGCAGAACGCCAGTTAAAAGAAAGATATGTGAGGTGAGAGAAAAATATATGGCTGTCCCCCGATGAGGAGATGGCAGCAAAAGAAAAAAAAAAAGAATGTATGGATTGTGATCCAGATCCAGGCAAGCTTGGACGAAGTGAGGAGAAGGGTAGGGGCAGAAGCTAGGAGGAGGGAGATGCCCTTTAGACGGATATGGGACCGGTTACCCGTCGCTAGTGCAACCAGCGAATACTATGTCTCACTCGGAGTTTGCAGATTTCCTAGAGAGAACAAGGGGGGAATAGGATCTTCGTGGAGAAGGTAGAATACTGGGAAAAAGAAAGGAAGAGAGTGACCAAGATGGAAAATGAAAGATAGTTACGAGAAACGAAAGAGGAAAAAGAAAGGGGGGAATCAGAAGCGCAGGAAGAAGCGACTGATAGGCAAAAAAAGGTGGGGTGGGGGGGGGCGGTGTTCTTGGGAATCTGGCATGCTGCGGCGACTGGGTACCAATAGGTGTCTCCTGGCTGCAGGGATGATGGTAGACCGCGGGACCACCTCAGACGGGAGGACCAGACAACGGATCATTTTCTGATTGGATAATTTTCTGATTGATGTTTAGGGACACTGGGCCCGTTTCCCGGCACGTGTTGCTCCCCACGGATACATTAGAGCAGTTGTCTTATACACATCTAGATGTGTATAAGAGACAGGTGTGTGTGTGTGTGGATCCGTGTGTGTGATGCACAGCCAAGAAAAGAGTGGAGAAGTGACAAATCAGAAAACGAGGAAATCGCGATGGTTTGTCGGGAACTGACTATTTGCAAAGTAGAACATTGCAGAGGATTGCTGATGAAGCCACTGAAAGACTCCTTGGGCTGAGCAAGCCGATGAAAAACTCATTTGGAGCAGGACTGGTGTACAGGAGGGAGGGCCTTTTCTTTTCTATTTCTCTTTTATCGTGACTTGGAAGAGTGCTTTATTAATTCTGACTCCGAATTTATGACTCATAGGTTGAAATCCGGACAACCGATCGCAATTGGGACTAGTCACTATTGTTGCTCGCTGTGTTGAGAGCGAGGGAGCAGATCTCTTGTTGTTTCAATTCCAAACAATTGGTCAGACCGTCGCGCGTGGTGTTGAGTAGATGAGCACATCACGTTCGTACAGGAGTATGCTCATCTCATCATAGCAGTTCGTGCTCCTGGCGGTGTTAAACCTTTTATCTAGAGTATGCATCATCGTACTATTATGGACTATGTTCATTCAGAGCCCACATTTAAAGAAAGTTGGGTGACGGATCGAGACGGTCGATCAGGTGCTTGCTGACCTGTATTTGCATATATTCTGTTTGACGATATATACATAAATTATATATATGTTTAACATATAATATATATATATATATGATGAGTCGGTGAAACTCCGACGAAACAGTTTGTTACAGCCCCTCGTTTGTTGTCTTCTTCTCTCTCTCTGCCTACGGTTTACCGGGCAGTTCTGTTTGTGACGATATATATACATATATATTTCAGCGGTCAGACATTTACAGAGAGTTCAGGGATCTCTAGCCAGTGTTTACTGGGTGTAGTGGGTGGGGGGGGTAAATTGGGGTAGTTGGAAGGGGTGGGAAATTGAGGTAGTTAGAATGGGGTGGTAGATTGGGTGCAGCTCAGGGTGGGGTGGTGTTTAGAAGAAAAAAAAGGAAGAAGGTTTGATCTTTGAAGGGAGTGAGATGTGTTGGAAAATGAGAAGAAAATCGCCGCAGCCCTGACACTCTGACATTCTGACCTGTTATCGGGGCCTGAGCGTCGCTTTCACCAGTCCGGGACTCCGGGACTGCCAGCACCGTTCTCCAGCTGCTTTTCACTGGGACTATCATGTTTCGATTACCGGCAGTGGGACTAATGTATCGTGTGTCGATAACCGGATCGGGCAGTGGGACTATTGTGTTTCGATTACTGGATCGGTACCATCATTTTACTCCGACTACTGTGCGATACGTAGTGAAGAAGAAGACAAGGATCGGTTGGAGAAGTTGCCCGACTTGTGCTGTAACGGACTTCTCGCATTCGTCTCGCATTCGAATTCCGGTATGTCAAGACTCGAGACTCAGGATATAAATGCATTTGAATTCTTCCATATACAGGAAGGAAAGCCTGGTATTCTTGTTTTTTGCTTGTTTGGTGTTCATCTTGACCTGACTATTATTTCTCTCTCTCTCTCTCTCTCTCTCTCTCTCTCACACACACACACACACACACACACACNAAAAAAAAAAAAAACAGATGTGCAGTAGTGCTGTGCGTGGCGTTCTGTTCCCAGATAGTTCAACCACCAGTACTCTCGAGGCACTTTTTTTTTTTTTTTTCAAGTCTCGAGGCACTTTTCCCAGGACTGGAACGCCCTGTGAGCCAAAAAAAAGGAACTGGCGCGGGCCTCCTTTTGGCTGGCGCCGCCAGCCATTTTGCTGTGGAGAATGAGCCCTAAAAGTTGCGGCAGGCCGCATGCACACCGCGACTTTTGTAAAAGTGGCTGGGAAACTTACTGGTGGTTTTAAACCACCAGTACCTTTCCCAGCCATTTTTATCTAAGACGCGCTGGGTAATGCAGTAGACAAGCGTGGGAGGGCCGCTGTTGAGAAATGGAATCGGCGGCGCGCTTTTCGTTTCGGGTCTCCGAGACTGCCGGGGGACGACATATGGGAAACGTACTGGTGGTTTTAACTACCCGTACGTTTCCCAGCCATTTTTCTCCAGTGTGCATGCAGCTGCAAGTTTCAGGGGTTGGCCTACAGAGCAAAATGGCTGGTGGGCACTGGTGGCCCCCAGCCAAAAGAAGGTGCAGAGTGCATTTTGAGGCCCTTTTTTTTTTTCTATTTTTTTTTAGTGCATTTTGAGGCTCAGAAAGGGAAGGGTCTTTTTTTTTTTTTTTTTTTTTTTTTTTGGGTCAAACCCCGATCAGTGCTAGTGATGCTGGTAGGAGCAGACACCACTAGCACCTAGGGGGCTCCATCTATTGGTGGGGAGCATCACCTGCTGGAAAGCGGGTCCAGCGTCCCATATACACAATGAGTGAAATCATACCAAGAAAGGTCTGCGGAGGGTTCCTGCCAGCATTGATTGCCCTGGCACCCAGGGGATTAACTGAGCAGGAAGTTAGACAAAAACCAACTTCAGTCCTGATCTATCCTTCTACCAGCATACCAGACCCTTCATATGGATGTTGGGATCCAAAAAAGTGAACAACAAACATAGCCACAGGTGTGCAACAGCAGGCTGGGAAAGAAGACTCTCCGGCCGCCCTCTGTTTACACTCCCGAGTACCATTGAGATTCCACCAAACAAAAACCAACTTCAGTCCTGATCTATCCTTCTACCAGCATACCAAACCCTTCATATGGATGTTGGGATCCAAAAAAGTGAACAACAGACATAGCCACAGGTGTGCAACAGCCGGCTGGGAAAGAAGACTCTCCGGCCGCCCCCCGTTTACACTCCCGAGTACCATTGAGATTCCACCATTGAGTGCGCAGGCGGTGGGAAGGGATCAGGGAACTCTGAGAGTGGACGCAGCGGGATAGCTGGATCAATCTTGGTCCACTCATGAAACCGTAGGCGGTAATCCCTTCCGAGACCTCCTTGATCCCCCCCCTCCCCCCCCTTCCATTGCACATCCGCAATCCAACCCCCTTGTTCCCCCCCCAGCCAGTCCATGCTAAATTGTTGTATCCGCATTCTGATTTCTGTTTTTGAGTGTAAGAAGGCAATTTTTTCCTTCACCCCTTCCCATTGAATGGTGAGGTCCGCTTGGACGTGTTGTTTGATTGCTTCTATAAAGGGGGCACCTTCTAGGCGAACTCCTTCCCTCTCAAAAATACACCTTCTCCACCAAATTGCCCAGAAGATTGCCCTACGGCCTATTGTAAACATATTAATTTTGAACGTGCTCGCCTGCTGCGGTCGCCAGGTTTCACATAGGACCGACTGCCAATCCCATGGCCAGGGGGTGGTTGTGGCCATTTGCCTCCACACCCGATCCCACCATCTCCATACCCAAATTGAGCCCGGGCACTGGAGAAAAATATGCTCTATTGTTTCCGGCCATCTCCTCGACGGGAATGATGCTACACAGAGTTTGCACCATGGGAGGGCCAGACCTTTCTGCTCCAGGGACGTGCGGTCAATCAGCCAGTCATTTGTTGGTAGGCAGCGGTGTTCCACTTGCCATTGCAGTGAGGCCACCTTGGCTGGCGATGACTTGCTGATTTTGAACCATTTGACCGAGCGCAGGGCGCTTCTGTCCAGATTTAGATGTCTCATCCACCGCTCTGTCACGACGTCCTTCAGGTTCATCCTTGGCCGCAACAGGCGGTACGCTCCTTTCACTGTTAATAAGTGAAGTTGCAGTCTGCCCTTTTCCCCCCTACCCAGTCCTGTTGACCAAAACCAGGTGTCCGGATCAAAGGCCAGATGTGCAATTGGTTCCGCAGGCCTGTATGCCCTCCAGCAGTCTTTTTCCTTTAGCACTCTGATCTGGAACACCTCATTCCCTTTGAGCCATCTCGTTTCATCTGGTGCCGCCCTAACCAATCTGTTATTGCTGCTAATGTCAAACAGGCTCACCAAGACATCCTTTTCTGAACTCTTCGGGTGAGAGACTACCACACTGCCAATCTGATCGTCGCACCCCCGGATCCCAACCCAATCTCCCTCAGCCAAAACTGGGCCATTCCTCAATATCCTTATCCAATCCAGGGGTATGACAGAGGTGATTTTGTCTAGGGCCTCCCTCGCATTGTGGCAATACCGCAATCGCTCCCTAAGCCCTTCCTCTGCTACCCAATCCTTAGCCTCTTGATCCCAAATATCACCTACTCTGAGGATCCCCCGATTCACCCACCCTTTCCAGGGGGTTGCAGAAAGGGAAGGGTCAAAAGTACTTCTGAGCCTTTTGTGAAAAATGGCTGGTGGCCCGCACGACCCGTCGGGTCAGCAGTCGTAACGAAAGAAGGTGGCTGCTGTTTGGAAGTGAGGACAGGAGGAGAGCACACATACTCCCTTTGGGCAGACACAAACATGGCTCGCGAATATATTTACATAGAGCCTAAAGACTCATACAAATATACATAGCGTTTGGGCACACATATACACACAACTATGAAAACGGCTGGGGCGATCTATCGGGTATATGACGGGGTCTACTCATGCATGGATTACTAGCTCTGGGGTAGGGTAGGGATATAAGTCGCTCCGGCCAGTCTGAGTTCCGCCTAGCCTGGGTAAGTGAGGGAACGGACGGTAGGATGTGTCCGTGGGCGCCGGCTACTCCTGCGGGGTCGCCCGTGACTCTCTGAATTGGGCCTGTAGAAGATTGCATGAGCCTCACGTCCGAAGTTCCCGTACGGCAAGGTTCGTCCGCTTCCGCTTCCGCTTCCGCTTCCAGTAGGGCTGGGGGATTGGCCCAGCCTTGGTGCTTGTCACTGCAGTCTGGTCCTAGTTGCTCTCGATACTGGAAGGGTGATGGTCCTGAGTGCGGGTCACGCTGAGGTAGGATAGCAGGGACAGGGGGTGAGCTGGGACTATTAACGCGGGGATGGGTAGGGTAGGTGGCCTATCCTGTCAGGACAACCGTTGGCTGCCGCTGCCAGCAATCACCGCGGGACTGGTCTGCGGCCTCTACAACACCCTGGGCTGGGGTCATTCCAATGGGCTGCACCATTTGATGTGAGGGACGCTGGGCCCGGTTCCCAGCATTGTGAAACAAAAAATTCACTCTAATTGAAAAGAAAAAAGAAAAGAAAAGAAAGAACAGGAGGCTGATTGCCACACAGAGGTGCCGCAGGTCTGACTCGGAGCAGGTTTAGGGAGGCCGCACCCCAATGTGTTTAATCTGATGCCATTTGGGATGCTACGGTGGGCTTGGTTCCCACCGGCACCCTCGCCATGATGAGTGTGCCTTGTGCTCGGGGGAAGATGGTAGCATAGACAGGACCCTGTCAAAAAAGATGTGCAGTGTGTCCCTTCTAGATTTTATTTATTTTTATTTTTTTTTGTCCATGCTTTCTTTTCTCAATTACTTTTTTCCCTCTCCCCTTTTGTTTGTTTTTTGGGGTAACTTCAGTAGAGTCACAAAAACGAGTGTTTTTTTTTTTTTTTTTTTTTTTTTTTTTGCGCAGGGGCCATGCTCATCTTTTCTGTACGGTTCCAATTTTAACCGATGTCCCAAAGGACCAAAAACGAGTTATAATTGCAGTATGGGGCAAGATAAAGTTTACAATTGCACTTCGGGCACCCTACCTGGCCAGAAAGCTGGGTTGTATACATTTTTTTTTTTTTTTTTTAAAGAACTTTCAATTAAGACTGGGAAATGGGCCTGGCGTCCCTCACACGAATGCCGTAACCACACGGTGCTGAGAAAGGCACTTCCACCCAACCCCATCCCCGACCACAGCCGTCCAGCTGCCGAG